AGCCCTCCTGGATTGCCACATGTCGAAGAGCCTGAGTCCTGATGTACGTTTTTCACCGACAGAACCACTTAAGTATTTACTTAAGATACTTCAAACGCAGACTATCTGATTTTTTTTTATTAAGTATGAGCATTTCATTTGGTAAAACTAAATGGAAAATTCGGAGCAGCTTATTTTCTTAATCAAGATCTCCACAAAGAAAAAGAAGTCGGCGTTATTCGGCAAAATAAGTCTTTTGTTGAGAAGAAGAGGAAACTTCGATCGTCTTTTATTATTGATTTGGGTGACAGGCTGTCATTTAAACAAAACACGCAAAACAGGTGAAACTAAACAAGATGGCTATCAATTTTACTACTGTTTCTTTCAGTACAAATACCATTTAGGTTGTAAAAGACCCCACTTTAGGGAATCTATCAAACAATAAGTGGAGGTCTACAAGAAAAGCACAGTAATCATGTTATTCAATTGTCTTAATAAGTATTTATTGTTTCTAGCTTCCGGTTTAGGCGTAATTAAACATGATAAGCCTATTTTTAAGGCAGACGTTTTGCTGTTTACCTGGCCAAAAAAATCGTCAATTTTCGTATAGCAGGCTCACAACAAGCGTGACGCATATCATTGCTTGGCCCCGTTGCTCTCTAAATCATATGTACAGCAATGTTAATATGTCATTTTATGCGTAAAAACGAAAACTGATAGAGCACCAAAACATTTTGATCCATATTCTGAGCTTTTGAACTCGTTCAGGAGTTCCTAGTCAGGGTCAGCAACAACAGAAGCGAAACAGGCGACACTTACAGGGGATGTAATTCAACCACTTATTAGCTACGTGAACCTGGAAGTAACCACGCAGTTCCCAAGAACCGAATCGAAACATCGATTTATAGAGTTCCCACCCGTGGATCAGGCCTCAATCAACTCTCGATTCGTTTTGTTTCCGGCGTCGGCGACTACTTTGGCGGCTGTGAAGGAGAAATCATGGTCCGTTCTGTAGGTGTGAACAGCGCCACCGCAGCATACGTTCGACTTTAATCCAGTAGCCAAGGGGATTCGACTAATAAACTATGCAGGGCCAATAGTCTGATATTAAAAATAAGTTAGTTATCAGGACACTTATGCCCCTTATTTCGCTCGGGAATATCAAGTGTTAGAAACAGGAAAACTTGGCAATACTCATCCACTAAACTGGTTAATACTATGATTGTCTTCTTATGTATAGGCTTGACAAACCTAGTAGATTTAGAATTAGAAGAGACGATTGCTGAAACACTAATTTTATTTGTCTGACGTTTTTGATTCTGCCGAGAACCCTTCCTCAGAGCTAACCGTAGCATAGTGTGATACCTGCACAGATAAGGGTGATATATGCGCAGATTTCGCCGTAATTAGAGTTCGTATTGGCCACCCGCATGCGAACTATAATTACCAGTTGCCGTAATCACCGATGGGGGTCATAATTGGTGCGATGATGGCTCTGCAGTCCGCTTCCGAGTCATTAATTGCCGACATCTCGTCATCCGTATTGGATGCGGGTTTAACCATTACGCGAAAATTATGTTCTCTAGTGTCAGAGTTGTGTTCCTGATCTTGTGTCTTCACCCGCGTCTGGAGTGATAACCTGCGTCGCCACTGTTGTAACCTAGCGTGTTCCTGTGTCAACCCTGGTTATGTACCCCAAATTACGTGTTAGGAAGAGAAGGCAGAACAGGATAACAGCTAGTACTTTACTGTAAGTTCTACTAGTACATCAGCTCTGTTCCTGTGTCCAGCAGCTTTTGTTCTGTGGTCGGTCTCGTCTCGGCAGCGGACCTTCGTCTAGGGCAGGGGTCGGCAACTTTTCTGAAGCAGAGAGCCAAGAAGGCAAATATTTGGAAATATTTTTCAGTAAGAGCCATATAATATATTTTATGATTAAATTCAATTAAATGCGAGTATAATAAGCCTCTGGATTTATTTTTTAAATGATGTTCTTATAATACTCATTGCTAATGCGACATCTGGTGCTGCATGGATTCGCTGATGGCTTTGTAG